TGCAATTCCATGCCCACGGGCAAGTCAGGGATGTAATCGAAAGCTCCGGACATTCCTTATTGTTGACTCCTCCCTACTCCCCTTTTCTAAATCCCATCGAGGAAATTTTCCACCTCATCAAGGTATCTATACTCTGTTCCTTTTAGTCAATCGCGCTCAATAGTCGAAGAAAAAGAAATGGGAATAGCTTTTGAGCAATGAGCTTCATGATTCTTTTTCCCGCAGCACTCCATCAGGAACATGAAGCCAAGCACAACGGATCAACTCGTTCGTAGCATATGCGAGAGTATTGGACTCATCGACTCCAAGAAATGCAAATCTGCTGTGTCACACTCAAAATCTTTCTTTGATGCTTGTCTACGAAAGCAGCCCATCCTAAATTCTGCACCAGTGGATAAGCTGTAATCCTGCCATTCGGTCAAGTGCTATATATTGAGCAATAATGCATTCAGATTTCGCATTCTCAATTTCACAATTTTGGAATGATTGGAAATAGTGAACATTTCTGTGTGTCATTTGACAATAAATTAAATACAAGTTGGTTGATAGAAAATAAAATGTATCTTCCTAGAGCACAATTCAAGGATATACAATTCTCTCTAGGATACTTTTAAATTTCGAGGTTGTGTTGATGACAAGATCTCATCCTAATCGCAGTGCTGGACTTTCCTCAAAACTTACTTATTCGAACTTGGCTAATTGACACTGTTCCTGCTCATTGTGTCTCTCCCATGAAACGTACAGGTGGATTAGGTTTTATGGGGAGCCCCTTCATGTTATCCGTGTTCTGGATTAGCGGGACTGGTTAGGATCGCGAACGCTGGTAACATCTTGTCATTGACAGTTCCTTGGATGAAAAACAGATGTCATTCGTGTTGCACCACCATCAGCGCCCCCCCCTACTCCAGAGGTGGGGGGGGGGGGGTGAATTCATTCGATAAGCACTGTAGATCAACGCAAGGGGCTAGGTGAAAATCTTCATTCCATCTTAAATCAAAGTGGGCCCAGCCTAAAATCTCTGTACGCCTCCCGTATATCTCTACAGACATTTATCATTTTAAATTCACATACCAAGGTTTAGGCCTATTAGATATTCCAGCATCGAACACGAGACCCAAGGCTTTCGCCGGACGCTCGAACTCCGCGGTCTGCCGGGGAGAAAATGGCGTCCTGGATCTCGTAGAGTCCTGCACGGGCCAGTCGAGACAAATTCAGCCCATCGGCCCACGTCGAGTCCATACCCAAAACCTGCTCGCTGACAAGACTTCTCGGTCTGACGCGACCCGACTCCACCAGACCCAACCCAAGGAGTGATCACCGAGATGTTGGCCTTAAACGGTCCGCAGGTTGGGTCGGGGTTCTTCTAATCGGGCCATTCTTCGGCCCGTGAAGGACATCGGTATGATGGTGTCGTGCACTTCAGTGTAACGTGCACGCTCGAATCGCGATGCCAAGAGAATGTAGCATCGCTCTCCAGAGGCTGTGGGCCCTGGTACACGCCAATGCAAGGTCTCCCTCGCCCGACGGGAACCTTTCAACACCATCGAATCGGGCCCTCGGTCAAGAATTAGTGCTTGTGGGAATGGAAGAAGCCGTCTCGCTTGGTTCTGCAGGAGACAGGCTACTTTCTCGTCGCTCGTGTCGAGAGTCCCGTTTGGGATTGCACCTGAAAATCTACAGAAACGGAGAAACCGGTGTTCTTTAATATTCCGTTCTCTCTCCACCGAGGAACTTGTTTGTTATTTACTCGAGGCAGCGAATAAATTTTAGCCAAATTTTTCTCCAACAGAGAAGCGGCTATGGAGATTCGATTTCCGATACGTTTATCTTCGAATATCCGAGAGTCTACTTTCCCCTCCAAAGTCGCTCGATCGAATCGACGTCTCCATTAACGTAGAGAAATCCGTGGTAAAGGCGTCGCACGATATATTGGCATACTGTTTACACGCATTATCACATGTTAGAAGCGGACCATTTTAATGGAAAAAGAATTACATGTTAAGAAGGGCAAGGTCCATTTGTCAATCTTCACCTTTCCTCTCCTCGTCCCCGCCTTTCCTCACCCTGCCCACACTTCTCTTCATCGGCCTCACTCCTCCCATCTCGTTCCTCTCCATTCCACTCGTATCCACACTAATTCCACACGCGGTTTAGAAACGTCCTCACGATTTCCATACCCTTTTCACACCGATTCGCGCGAGTTCCGGACCATTCCACATCCATTCCATCCGTGTGGACGAGTGAGGTTTTTCTAGAAGGGAGAACGGCCCCCACGATCCACCTGCTCGTCCGGAGCCGCAATCGTAGAAGGTGAACAGAGGAGCGAGAGTCACTCGATTCCCAGATATCTGTCCCGGGAGATGCCTGTCGCAGGAAGCGCTTTTCTCGCGGCCGGCACGGATCGAGGTCTCGGTCCGAACGAGGCTCGGGAGGTCGTGACATCACCGAGGAATCATCGACGCGACCGAGAAATCGTTTCCACGAGGGCAAAGCAAACCGTGGAACGTGTTGCCGTGAGAATCTTTCCCCCGCCGAATCACGAACGGGTATCGAGGTGAGGAGAATTCGTCGCTTCTCTCGGCAGAAGGAAATCGCAAGATTAGAAAGATGAGAAAATACTTAAACGCGATCCCGTGTTTTCTCCGGTGACGACGTTCGCGACGTCGACGCGTCGGATTTGCGACGGGCCGTCGAAACCCGGCGGACGATGGAAGACCGGAGAGACTCGACATCTCTGAATTCGACTCGTCGCCACCTCGAAATAGGACGGAAGGAAATTGTTCGCGGCGAGGAAACCCTTCCGGGTTCCGTGCTCCCTCTTGCCCCCTCGTGCTCCCGGCGCGACGAAGGAAATCCACGCGGACGCGAACGGTCTCTTTCTCTTCGGTCGCGCGGAACCATTCGGATGAGGATGAGAACGCGAGAACCTTCGACGACGAACTCGAAGCGAAATTCGCTTTCCATGCCGACGCGGAAACGGATAGAGGCTATAAATTCGAATCAAAAGCAAATAATCCCGAATCGACTCCGTCGGTAAATTTCTCCGCTCGAAAATTCCTTGCAACGATCGTTCTCGCTGGTCTAAATTAGTTTCAAGATCTATCAATTACTGCGCATATTCTCGAGAGGGATGCTCTCCGAACAGAATCCTTCCTGCTTATTAGTGCTTTTAACGTGTTCTGTTAGTTAATGGATGAATGAAATGGATCTCGTCGTGACGCCTGTGGCACGACAAACCGTCCATCCGGTTTCTCCGTCCACAGTCTCGTTCCTTACGAATAAATATTTACAGGTGTTGAAATTGAACCGGAAATTTCCGTGGAATTTTCATGGAAGCGACAAAGGCTCTACGTAAATTTGTGTAATTTCCCAATCGTTTCCACCGATTCCTCGTAAACGGTCCCTTCGACCGGGAATTTCCATGCGAAAATTTATCGCCTGTAACTTTTTTGTAAGGGCTTAGACGTATACGGATATCGCAAGCAGGAAAAGAATGGATCGAGAGAGGCGAAAGTGCGCCGCCGCCGCCGCCGCCGCCGCCGCCGCCGCAGAGCAGATGGGCGACGGCACATGCATCATCCTTCCTTAATCGCAAAGGGCTCGGCAGAGAAGAAAGCCATTAACCCGAGGATCTACCTTTCGTGTAGAAGACCTCAAGGACCTTCGGTTCGCGAAGTGGATTTTCACGAGATCAAATTTCCCGAGCGAACTCAGAGGCAGCGCGTCGCGAAATCGAGTGGTATTCCGAGGGTGTGTAGGATCGCCGCGACGAACGCGCGAGAGTCAAGAAATTGGAGAAAAACCCGACGGAACGCGATCCCGACGATCCCGACGGTCTCGACGATCCCGACGATGGGGTCTCTCGTCCACTGCCGCACGAATTTCTTTCGTATCGGAGATTCGGGTCGTTTTTTGAGGGACGTTCGGGGCGCTCGAGCCCGTTTCTTTCCTTCGTTCCGAGGACCCGTATCATCTACGATGCGAAAACGGGATCATCGACGCGTCCAGATACCTTTTTTTCGAGACAGATCATGCGGTGGACACGAACGACGACGGAAGCACGCAGAGAGTGCCGGGAGTGCCCGCTCGGAACAGGGACCGCATCCGAATCGCAGATCCCTCGGGCCGGGACGCCCTTCCACGGTCCTATAGAAAGTCAAAGGGGCAGCGGACGGGTTGCCTAAGCCCACGACCGGCACTAATGGCTTTTAAGGTGCACTGCACCCGCATCTCCGTGACGCACGGAGCGGCGCGTGCACGATTCCACGCCGAGCCGACGCACCACCCACGGGGGCAGGTGGGTGGAGGAAGAGCCCGTCCCCGCTCCCACGAGTTCCCCCGGGTCCAACTCGGAAGCTGCAAGAGTCGGAAAGAACTGCAAAGTTGCAGGACGATAGTCGAAAAGTGAACTTTTTTTTCGAGTCTCTCGTTCGTTTTGATGAACACGAAGCCACGACTGAAACTTCTGTTTTCGCCGTTCTTGTCCCAGTTTCTCCCAAGAACTCCACCGATTCTGCTCTCTTTTCTTTCATTCATTTGAAGTGAACGACGGCTGAGGACTAAGACGAAGCTGCTTAAAATACCACATCAGAATCTAAAATAAATGAAAAAATATATATATACCTGTATATATAAAAAAGCCCAGAACGAGGGCGATCGAGAACACTTCCTGCAACTTCTCACAGATCCTTCCGATATTAAGCCTCTTAGTGCGGAGAACCTCCCTCCCTCCTTCCTTCCCTCTTCGCTCGAGGATAAAAAACGATTCTATCGACGTTGGGCACTAAAAGGGTTAAGACGCCGAATCGTGAGGATGGAAATGCGCTAAGCGCGACAGATGTGGGAATGAATCCCCGAGGTTCCTCGATGCAGGCCAGGACGATGCGTTCCGATTCCTTTTCGAATCGATGCTTCGCCGTGAGCGATGCTTTCGCCGACGGCAAACTACGATTTGCAACACCTCGAGGCGGATTTGCTGGACTTCGGGGCACACCGGCTTTTTTTTTTTCTCTCTCTCTCTCTCTCTTTCCATCACTTTTGAAGTCTTTTCCACTTCGGCTTTTCCTTCCAGTTCCTCCGAAAGTGGCTCCATCTCGCCGTCGTTCCGTTTCGCGAGTTCGATAGAGGATCGCCTTCGGCCCGGAGACGGTCGCGTGTTTCCCAAGCCCTCCAACGCAGAGAGCGTTCGTCTCCGAGTGAACACCGGCACGTCTCGTCGTCGCGAGCAGGCACGGGTCTAAACTTCTCTAGTCATCTCCGACTAAAATATGCTCTCCTCTTTTCCTTCCTTCCGATCGACGGTAGAGGTTTTCTCACGGTGGGTATCGCGCGACGTTTTTCCATCTTGAAGATACCCGCCCCCACCGCTCGGTTTTAAAGGAAACCACAACATATACCGACGTCTC